TTAAGTGACGAGATGTAATACACGGATACAGATTATAATCATATACGTGTTTTAGTAATTACTTATCATTTTCAATAATAAAAAATATATTAAAACGCTTAATTGACTCTATCCTAATCGGTCGCGCCCCCAACAGATAATTTGCTCCTCCTTCGGGGATCGCGCCCCACACTTTGGGAAACGCTGTTTTACAGAGCTTGTTTGTTTATTCTACCCCAAAGCCACACAATGGTCTTTCTCCACAGCATGGAATCGAACCTCGGATTATAGTGTTTTAATTCCGAAAATTTATCGCTGACCAAACGGAGATATGCTTATAAGAAAAACAAAATGCATACACGTGTAAATAGACCAAATATTTTAATAATTTATGGAAGAGGGTGCTTTTACAGTAATCTACATTATTTTTTTAAGTTAGAAATAAATATCTCGAATTAAAAACATTTTGTTAACAAACGATACAGTAACTAATTATATCTACTAGATTAATTAACCTTATACACAGAATTGATAGCACAGTGAAACCAAATTAATTATCCAAAGTTATTATACATTTAGTTCAGAGAAAGTGATTTAGGACATCTCAATCTAAACGAACTAAGCTACCTTACAGCTACTTCGTAAGGAAAAGAATCAGACCAAGTTATCCAAATCAGACTAATTTTACAGCTAACTCGTAAGAATAAAAATCAGAGCAAGTTGTCCAAATCAGACTAGTTTTACATCCACCTCGAAAGACGAAGAATCAGAACAAGTCATCCAAATCAGAATAGTTTTAGTTCTACAGCTACTTCGAAAGAAACATATTCAGAGCAGGTCAACAAAATCAGACTAGTTGTTTTACAAATACTTCGTATGAAGAAGAATCAGAGCAAGTCGTCAAAATCTGACAAGTTGTCTTACAGATACTTCGTAAGAAAGAGAATCAGAGCAAGTCATCAAAATCAGAAAATTTGTCTTACAGATACTTCGTAAGAAGGAGAATCAGAGCAAGTCGTCAAAATCAGAAAATTTGTCTCACAAATACTTCGTAAGAAGAAGAATCAGAGCAAGTCGTCAAAATCAGACAAGTTGTCTTACAGATACTTCGTAAGAAGAAGAATTAGAGCAAGTCGTCAAAATCAGATTAGTTTTCTCACAAATACTTCGTAAGAAGGCGAATCAGAGCAAGTCGTCAAAATCAGACAATTCGTCTCACAGATACTTCGTAAGAAGAAAAATCAGAGCAAGTCGTCTTACAAATATTTTGTAAGAAGAAGAATCAGAGAGAGTCGTCCAAATCAGACTAATTTTACAGCTGCCTTATAAGACAAGAAGCAGAGTAAATTATCCAAATCAGACTAGTTTTATAGCTACCACGTAAGACAAGAATCAGAGCACATCGACCAAATCAGGCTAGTTTTACAGCTACCTTGTAAAACAAGAATCAGAGCAAGTTGTACAAATCAGACTAGTTTTACAGCTACCTCGTTAGACGAAGAATCAGAGCAAGTTGTCCAAATCAGACTAGTTTTACAGCTACCACGTAAGACAAGAATCAGAGCAAATCGATCAAATCAGGCTAGTTTACATCTACCTTGTAAGACAAGAATCAGAGCAAGTTGTCCAAATCAGACCGGTTTTACAGCCACCTCCTAAGAATGGGAATCAGAGCAAGTCATCCAAATCAGACTAGTTTTACAGCTACCTTGTAAGAAAAAGAATCAGACAGAGCTGTCCAAATCAGACTAGTTTAACAGCTACCTCGTGAGACAAAAATCAGAGCAAGTTGCCCGAATCATGTTAGTTTTACAGCTACCTCGTTAGACAAAGAATCAGAGCAAGTCATCCAAATCAGACTAATTTTACAGCTACCTTGTAAGACAAGAATCAGAGCAAGTTTCCAAATCAGACTGGTTTTACAGCTCTCTCGTAAGACAAGAATCAGAGCAAGTCTTCCAAATCAGACTAGTTTTTCATCTACCTCGTAAGACAGAGAATCAGAGCCAGTCATCCAAATCAGACTGGTTTTAGTTTTACAGCTACTTCGAAAGAAACATATTCAGAGCAGGTCGTCAAAATCAGACCAGTTGTCTTACAAATACTCCGTAAGAAGAAGAATCAGAATAAGTCGTAAATATCAGACAAGTTGTCTTATAGATACTTCGTAAGAAGAAGAATCAGAGCAAGTCGTCAAAATTAGACTAGTTGTTTTACAAATACTTCGTAAGAAGAAGAATCAGAGCAAGTCGTCCAAATCAGACAAGTTGTCTTTCAGATATTCGTAAGAAAAAGAATCAGAGTAAGTTGTCCAAAACAGACTAGTTTACAGCTACCTCGTACGGCAAAAATCAGAGCAAGTTGTTCAAAAAAGACTTGTTTTACCGCCACCTCGTGAAACAAGAATCAGAGCAAGTTGTCCAAATCAGATTAGTTTTGCAGCTACCTGGTAAGACAAGAATCAGAGCAATTCGTCCAAATCAGACTGGTTTTACAGCTACCTCGTAAGACGAAGAGTTAGAGCAAGTCATCTATATCAGACTAGTTTTATTTTTACAGCTACTTCGAAAGAAACATATTCAGAGCAGATCGTCAAAATCAGACTAGTTGTCTTACAAATACTTCGTAAGAAGAAGAATCAGAGCAAGTCGTTAAAATCAGACAAGTTGTCCTATAGATACTTTATAAGAAGAATCAGAGCAAGTCGTCAAAATTAGACTAGTTGTCTTACAAATACTTCGTAAGAAGAAGCATCAGAGCAAGTCGTCCAAATCAGACAAGTTATATTTCAGATATTCGTAAAAAAATAATCAGTGCAAGTCGTCAAAATCAGAAAAAAAACGCCTTACAAATACTTCGTAAGAAAAAGATTCAGAGCAAGTTGTCCAAATCAGACTAGTTTTACAGCTACCTCGTGAGACAAA